TCTCTCCAGCCTCTCCTCTTCGTTTCGCGCGATCCCTACTGATAAAGACTTCCATTTCTTTTACAATTTCGATGAGTTCAAGCAGCCAATCCAAGAAATCGCTGAGAAATCGCAGTCCATGCTTCAAAGCATTGGCTCCTCGGCACAAGTTAGAGGCAAACCTGTGAAATTCTCCGAGGAAGTTGATACTGACGAGGCCTACGATATACTTGTAAACTTTAACGACGAAATCTTGGAGCAATTTGATATGTCGACGGACGAGTTTGAAGGAATTCGCAAGAAGGAAGAGGAAGTGGGCCGGTCTCTGGGAACGGTGGCTGATTGTGAAGATGGATTTGTGATGGTGCTCGGAAAGAAAAAGAAAGGTCCTAACAACTCGCTGAGTGAGTCTTCAGCACCGAGTGGAAATGAGGAATTGAGTGGGGTGAAGGTGGCCTCGAGGGATAATAAGGCTTCTGCGACCGGGAAGGCGAAAGTTCCGTTTCATATACCGACAATAAGAAGGCCACAGGATGAATATCACATCGTGGTGAATAACACGAACCAGCCGTTTGAACATGTTTGGTTGGCAAGGAGTGAGGACGGTCTTCGGTGTATTCATCCACTGGTTAGTTCACTTGATTCTCTCTGCGTTTTGGGTTTTATTGAATCTATTTCTGGTTTTTCCTTCATTCAATGTTCCGCAAAAAGCAAATCAAGAAGTCAGTGGTGTGCGTTATGAAAGTCGTTTTAGGGAAAATCCAATTGCCATAAGAGAGAGTAGCCAACCTGCTAAAGGTTTAAAGGGATAAAGATGAGTTCTTTATAGAAAAAGTGACTCAAAGATTGTAATTTTTAGACTTTTTCAATTTTCTAAGCAAGATAACTACTGTTCCCCTCTATTTTGCTATTTGTTGCCATTAAAATGCTTTTATTTGGATGGAAATTTACCTTTTTTCTACATCTCCTTTCTTTCCTAGAAAAATTCAGAAAATAGGGCAGGGAATTAGTTTGACTGCAGCAGGGAAATTTAACAAAATGCAGGAATTATTCAATAATTGAACTGTTAGGGGGGTGCCTAGAGACAACAATGCTGCTGGAAGCTCTACACTTAAACTTTTTATCTCAAAAAAGAACGATGCTGCTGGGAGCTGTTCACTGTATTTATGAGGATTATGAAAATGTGTACTATGTGCAATTCTATTAGCCAATAAATGTCATCTGCTTCAGGAAGGCATATGGTTGGGAGCCATCAACATTCTTCTAAAACAGACTTCCTTGAATACCATTAAAACAAATCCTTTTTTTTTTTTTTTAAATTGAAAAGAAAATCCTAGTTCTAAGCTTCCTTTTTCATTTGTTTAAACTCATTCCATTTTTTTTGCCATTATGGACACCTCCTAACATTTTCATTTAAGAAGTCATGGAGCTTCAACTTCAGTTAGATGTACAGAGGGGAATGTAGGCAATAATATTTTGAGAAGAAGAAGAAACACTTTGTTTACAGGAGTGTAGGCAGTAAAGAATGGTGGTATATAACTAAGAGCACATGTCGATAATTACTGCCTCCAGATTATTTGTCATTTCTGCATTCAAATTATTTAATCTTAACCAGTTGTATTTTTATAAAAGATTCAATGGGTAGCCTCTAGATCGCAAATGAAAAAACAGAGGATAGATGGATAGGCTTGATAGTTGTATGATAATCAAACTTCTGCTTGGCATAGATATTAGATCACATAGAATGAAAACATCAGCTAGGTTCGCTAACAGTTAAGAGATGAAAAAAGTGCATAAAAGATGCCTTGGAGAGGGTTGTATATGTTGGATTAGATTATGGGTCCTTTGGTTGGATAATAAGGCGAGAATTCTAAGCAAGGTCTTTGTTGGTTGATGACATTTTAAGTTGTGATTCATATTTAGAGAATTTACTGTTCACAATTAGGTAAAATGTAGTGTTGGGCCGCTGAGAGCATTTTTTTTTGTTATGGGGGACATTCTTGTAAAATTTGGTTTTCTCCTTCTGTCATATGTAGGAAAAAAATATGATTCTTCAATAGTGAAAAATCGCGCAGGTAGCTCCTGGAGTAGGCACAGAGCTTAATCACGTGTAAATCCTTTGTGTTTTCTTTCTCTGTTGCTTTACTTTAGTTATGTGTATTGCGGGGGCACTTGCACAACTTGGGAGAGTATGATGGTTTCGGCTTCTCTTTGGGTTAAGGCCCATGATTTCTTTAGGAGAATTTCTTTTTCCTCTTTGCAGAAGGATTGGGTTGCTATCATGTAACAATAATGCACTTTGTTTATTTTGGATGATAGCTTATCCTCATTTAGTTTGCATCTTTTTACCCCCTTTCTAATGATATATACGTATATATATATTTATGAAATAAAGAGATGAGAATGACATTCGATGAACTTAAAGAGAGGGTTGTTTTTATGGCCTCCCTTTGGGCCAAAGCACATGGCCACTCCCCGTGCATAAGCATCTTAGAGCTATATCGTAATTGGGACGCTATCATTCACAGAGGATAAAGCAGACATTTTACTACATGTTTTCAATTTTTATTCTTTATTTTTACTTATTTTTTTCTTACTTACGAGGATGATTTATTCTTCACCTCTGTAACTTTTTCTTTCCTTCTAATTTTTTAATAAACTTTCTTTTATCAAAAAAAGAAGAGATGAGAAAATAGCAAAAAGAAAGTGTTCATTCCTCTTCTATATCTTGATAGACTTCTTCTTGTTGATCTTTCTTTAATGGAATGAACCCTCGAGTTATTAATTGCCAGAATACTGGGCAATCTGAAACCTTGTTGCATGATATTTGAGAAAAAGAAATCTTACAAGTTGTGTTATAAAACTCCACAAATCAGCATGTCATCTTTTCAGATGTGATAGATATGGAACTGAGATAGTTTATTTGAAGAACTGGGAGATGAGATTTACATACTTTGTTGCCAAGTTTGTTAACTTGTCTTCTAATGCTTTGACTTTTCTTTTTTAGACTCATGATTTTATTGACATCCTAGTGGCGTTCTTAATATATTTAATTGTTCCACTTATATTTTTAACTGTCTTCTTGCATGTAGGAGAAGCACTCTGTTTTAGAATTTGTGGACAAAGATGTTGGGGTTATTGAGCCTGTCTTGCCCCCCACAATGGAAAGTACTCCATTCAAACTTGTGGAAGAAGTCAAAGATTTGAAGGAGTTAGCTGCTAAGCTACGGAATGTAAATGAATTTGCGGTAAAATCTTACTACCATTCAGGATATTTTGACATATTGATGCAGTCTGTAAGGTTTAAAATATCTAACAATTTCTTTATCATTGTGGTTAAGACTGTCCAGAAACCTCTTTTGATTTAGTGTCTGTTTGATTTGTCATTGAGTTAGAGGATTACAGGTATTTGACATGTCAAGTTCCTGGAATGCAAGTGTCTGTGTTATTTATGATGTGTCTGCATGTTTTTAAGTAGTGATTATTGCTGTATTTGGAAGTTTCCTGTTGTGTTTAGTAATTTAGAATCAGTGAAGGGCTCATTTTGTCATTTACTCTATACAATTTCCTGGCAGATATATAATGGAAATATGACCATTATTTCTTCATTAGGTTAGTTTTCAAATGCTGACATCTTAGTTGTTTAGCTGTAAATATACTGCTGAAGTGATGAAATAGAATGATGAAAAAAAAATCCTCTTACAATGTAAACTAAGGCTAGGTTTTATGAATTGAGAAAATGATGTAGGGAGATGGGATACTTTAGAAGACAACACTGGAGACTGGAAGATCTCAAAAATAATTGTGGATAAATTATGATAAAAACTAGAAGTCTAAATGCATTCTTACCGGTCCAAAGTTTTACTCAACGTGCTATTAACACTCCCTATTAAGTCTTGGATGGTGTTCGTACAATTATCCAGGCGCTTATTCATAGGGATAGTTTTTTCCTGCTGGACTCACCGAAAAGAAAGTAGTGGAAGTTAAGGAAAGGAGGAGGATTGCAATAGTTTAGAACTATTTAGAATGATTATTCAAGATTCTTAGTTCAGAAGATTTTAATTATTGTTTATTTAGGAATTTCAATAAAACATGGTTTAAAAATCTGGGTGTGTAATAAGGTTATAATTCTAATAGCTTGCCTATAAATTATGATCCATAAAGGTGTCTATACCTAAGAATTCAAAGTTTTACTCTAAGATCTGAGGGTCTCTTAAGTGTGTCTCATCATAGGTTACTAAGGCTAGAAACCTAGTAAGCAAGCTTATAGCTTGCTTTAGGGGCTTCACTGTGGCCTTAACCCGACTCCAAACATGGGACTGTGACAAATTGGTATTGGAGCCAACAGTCATGGGGATCTCAAGACCTTTCAACAGCAATTTGGACTCTTCTAAAACAATAAGAGCAGGATTGAACACAGACAAATTAATGACAACAGGAGATCCTAGTGCATATTGGGAATTTGTTTCGAAAACTATCAGCACCTAAAGGAGGGTTAATCCACTGGCAATTTATGGCACAAGGACAAGCTATTGGTCGGGAAGGAACGTAAAATGGCAGAAAGATCCTTGGATTTGCTAAACTTGACTTCTCTTCTTTGGTGGAATTGTTACCTGTTATAGTGGCAACATAGTTTGAGTAGTTTTTTTTTGGGCATTAGTGATAAGTGTGTGAAGATAAGGGTGGGGTGGGGTTACCATCAATCCACATGGAGGGACGATGCTCAAAGGTTGGTTTCTCAAATTGAAAACAGAGTGTTTAGAGATGGCATGGGATGAAAAAGTACTATGATCTCCATTTCTGATCATTGTTGCTCAACAATAAGTTAGGCAAATTGGTAAAATTGCTGTACGTCGGGTCCATCACAAAGTACAAGAGAGGTTCGAGTAGGCCTCAACTTGAGTTGTCATGCTTATGTTTGCACAAGAGTTTGAGATGGTCATTAGTGGTTTATAGGGCCATATTCAGTCGAAGTTGAGTTACAAACCCACAAGACTTGACCACGACTATGATTTATGCATGGCTTTTTTAGTGTTCTGGGGATAAGAGGAAACAAAAGACAAGACCTCCCAAATGGCTACAAACACCCTGTTAATCAAAAAGCATAGTTGAGAAAATATGGAGGAGCATTGACAACGCGGTTTGTGATTCAATGATGATGAACCTTTTGTTCCTTTGCCGCACTTACAAGAAGTTAATTATGGCTGGGGCTTAGGGGTGATGGGAAACACAATGATCGAGTTGACCTTGGATGGAGTTGAAGAATCGAAGATTTCAAACCATGCAAATAGTGTTCTTTGGATTCTTAGACAATGAAGGGTGCAAGCCATGCTTGCAAGGCTCCTTTTATATCTTCGTATAATCAGGAAGCATATACGTCTTCATCAATGAAGCTTTGGTCAAGAAGTTAGCTTTAGTCATGGAACCCCAAGGATGCCTTCATGTCATGGTGTCTAATGGAGAGCACATACGAAGCCTAAGAGCATGCAAGAACGTTACGGTGATATTGAACAATATTCCTTTTCTATAGATTTATTTATACGATCCTTGATTGTTTCTTTATCTCCAAAAAAAAAAAAAAAACAATCCTCGAGTGTTTCTTTATCTAAAAAAAAATGATTCTTGAGTGTTTTGGAGTAGTACTAAGTGTGAATTTGCTATAAATCTTGGGACTGATCACTTGGGATTTCACAGTAACGAAGATGTCATTCCATCACTATGGAAAGTTCTTTCATCTCCAAGGCATTTGTCACGATGAAATACCCAAGGGTGTCAAGATAGTAGCAATTGTCACCACCCAAAACCGACTGACTTACCTCACACATTTTTTGAGAGAATTTGAAATATTTTTTGATGAATCGAAGGGTCTAAGTCTCTAAATTATGTTAGAGCAAAGTACTGACTTCGTGGTCATGAAGCCTTATTCGTAATCCTCATCACCAAAAAGATCAGATTGAGAAAGAGGTGGGAGAGGTGTTAGAGCAAGGGATCATAAGCTCAAGCCATTCTTCATTTTCTTCTTGATGATCCTAGTCAAAAAAATGGATTGAACATGGCTATTTTGCATGGACTATTGCGCTCTGGATAACAAGACAATCGAAGACAAAGTTTCCGTCAGTGTTATAGATGAACTATTGGAAAGAACTATATGAAGCCCAATACTTCACCAAAACTATATCTTCAATTTGGGTACCAACAAATGAGGATGCATCCCAATGTCATTGAAAGGACAGCTTCCAGAACATGCAAGGGCTACCATGAGTTCTTATTTATGTCTTTTGGCTTAACTAACTCTCCTTCAATGATCGATGCCTTATGAACTCAATTTTCCAGCCTAACTTGTATGAGCTTATCTAAAATTCATGCCATCTAAACTACTTCTGATCGTATAATTGACCAACTAAAGGGTAAA